TCCAGCTTTCCGACATCCCCCGAAGGGGTCCCGGATTGCGAGAGGGCGGTTCGCGGGTGACGCACCCCAGAATCGGGCTCCCTCCTCTCTCAGCAGCTCCAGCATTGAGTGTCTGCCCCCTGGTGGTCAGTGCGCGTCATAGCTACCGGTCAGACAGTTCAGTTGGACAGTTGCTTAGACTTTTATATATAGAGAGACTAGAGGCCGGTGCATGAAATTCATGCACAGGTTGGATCCCTGGACCTGGCTGGCTGCCGGCTGCCAGCTGCTGGCTGGGGCATTCCTACATTCTGTGCTGCCTCCTGGTGGTCAGCGCATGTCATAGCGACCAATCAAACGCCTGAGGGGACACTTTGGATATTAGGCTTTTATATAGATAGATAGATTGATTGATTTCAGAGAGGAAGGCAGAGAGAGAGAGAGAAAGAGAGGGAGAGAGAAACATCCATGATGAGAGAGAATCATGGATCAGCCGCCTCCTGCACGCCCCCTACTGGGGATCGAGCCTGCAACCCGGGCCTGTGCCCTTGATTGGAATCGAACCCTGACCTCCTGGTTCATAGGTCGATGCTCAACCCCTGAGCCACAGGCCCAGCTCTCATGGCATTTTTAATCCATTCATCTACGGATGGGCACTCGTACTGTTTCCAGATCTTAGCAATTGTCAATGGCGCTGCTATGAACATAGGGGTGCATATGTCGTTTCCCTACAACCAGGCTAGCAGGGGTGTTAGTGAGGGACGACCAGACAACTGAACAGCAGACTGCGTGGGGCAACCAGGCCATCGGGGGCCGTGAGGGGCGACCAGGCCAGCGGGGGAGGAGGGGCAGTTTGGGGAGACCAGGTCAGCAGACGGGGGCAGTTAGGGGTGATCAGGTCAGCAGAGGGGGGCAGTTAGGGGTGACCAAGCAGGCAGGCAGGGGAGAGATTAAGAGCCAGCAGTCCAGGATTGTGAGAGGGATGTCCGACTGCCGGCTTCGGCCCGATCAGACCTAAGCCGGCAGTCGGATATCCCCCGAGGGGTCCCGGATTGGAGAGGGTGCAGGCTGGGCTGAGGGTACCCCGAACCCTGCCCACACACGCCAATTTTGTGCACCGGGCCTCTAGTATTTACATACTCTTGGATATGTACTAGTATTTTACACACACACACACACACACACACATCAACCATATTAACAGAGTTGTTCCCAATGACTCTAAAAAAAGTTTCAGGCCATTTATGGGAGCTTAGAGGAATCGGCTACCTTCTCATGTGAAAACTGGGCGTATCGGGAATCCTTTTCAGATGGTGCCTGGACAGCCCGGCTGGTGTTGCTCAGTGGTTGAGCATCGACCTATGAACCAGGAGGTCAGGGTTCAATTCCTGGCCAAGGGTACATGCCCGGTTTGTGGGCTCGATCTCTGGTAGGGGGCGTGCAGGAGGCGGCCGATCCATGATTCTCTCTCCTCATGTCTCTCTCTCTCTCTCTCTCCCTTCCTCTCTAAAAATCAAGAAAAACATATTTTTTTTTAAAAAAAAAATCTGACCAGTTGGTGTGGCTCCATGGTTCAGGGTCGACCCATGAATCCAGAGTTCAGGGTTCGATTCCCGGTCAATAATAATACAAATATATTTTTATAGGAAAAAAAAAGTCCTGGCTGGTGTGGCTCAGTGGGGTTGGAGCCTCAACCCAGGTACTGAAAGGTAGCTGGTTTGATTTCCGGTCAGAGCACATAACTAGGTTGTGGGTTTGATCATTGGTTGGGGTGCAAACAGGAGGTAACCAATCAAGGTTCCTCTCACATCGATGTTTCTCTCTCTCTCCCCCCTTTCCCTTTATTTGTAAAATTAGTGAGGACATATCCTTGGTCCAGGAGGCGGCCGATCCATGATTCTCTCTCCTCATCTCTCTCTCTCTCTCTCTCTCTCTCTTCCTCTCTAAAAATCAAGAAAAACATATTTTTTTTTAAAAAAAAAATCTGACCAGTTGGTGTGGCTCTGTGGTTCAGGGTCGACCCATGAATCAAGAGTTCAGGGTTCGATTCCCGGTCAGTAATAATACAAATATATTTTTAAAGAAAAAAAAAAGTCCTGGCTGGTGTGGCTCAGTGGATAGAGCGTCAGCCTGTGGACTGAAGGGTCCCGGGTTCGATTCCCGGTCCAGGGCACACGCCCGGGTTGCAGGCTCCATCCCCAGTAGGGGGCGTGCAGGAGGCGGCCGGTCCATGATTCTCTCTCTTCCTCTCTGTATTCAATAAAAATATACATTTTTTTTTTTAAAAAGAGAGCTAATTCTCTGGAGTCTGACAGTCCCCGGTGTTTCCCTCCCAGGCGCCCTCATGACCCCCAACACCCGCGTCCAGCGCTTCGAGGTCCTGAAGAACGGAACCTTCCTCATCCGCCAGGTCCAAGTCCAGGACCGCGGCCAGTACGTGTGCACCGCCCAGAACCTGCACGGCGTGGACCGGCGCGCGGTTCTGCTCTCGGTGTCGGTCCAGCAGCCCCAGATCCTCGCCTCCCACTACCAAGACGTCACCGTCTACCTGGGGGACACCATCGCCATGGAGTGCCTGGCCAGGGGCACCCCCGCGCCCCAGATCTCCTGGGTCTTCCCGGACCGCAGGGTGTGGCACGCCGTGTCCCCCGTGGAGGGCAGGGTCACGCTGCACGAAAACCGCACCCTCTCCATCAAAGAGGCGTCCTTTGCCGACCGCGGTTTCATGGAAACAATTCACATCTTAAAATATTGTTTCTTATTGAGAAACAATGATTGTGTCTTTCCATTTATTTATGTTATCTGTCCTTTAAAA